CACTGCTTTGTACTTTAGTCTATGCAAAAATAGTTCAAAAATTGGAAAACAGTTAAAAATTTCACGTACCAGCGCATGAAAGCTGAATTCGAAATCTTGAAGGACGAATATCTTTCCGTGATTCCCGAGTTAACAGTTTACCCTCCAAAATTTTCACGAGGCCGTAGGTGGTACCCGAGAGCGCGAGAACGCTGAATTTGAATGAGCAAGGTTGAGCTGGGGCGGGGGGTCACTACCCTAAAATTTCAGCTCCTAGACTCTGTGGTTCCCGAGAAATTAACTCCGTAAAAAATTTCACGGGGCCGTACGTGTTACCCGCAGGTAAAGGAAGGCTAAAAACTTACCCGTGACTTACCCATGGGAAACTTTCACGGGGCCGTACGTATTACCCGCGGGTAACGGAAGGCTGAATTCGAATGGGCAAGGTTGAGCGTGGGCAGGGGGTCATTACCCTAAAATTTCAGCCTCCTAGACTCCGTGATTCCCGAGATAATAACCTACTCGTAAAAAACTTTCACGGGGCCGTATGCGTCACCCGCGGGTACGGAGAAGCTGAATTTAAATTTGCGGGGATACACGTGAATGGGGAACGTTACCCTACATTTTCAGCTTCCTAGCTTTTGTGGTTCCCGAGTTGGAAGTTGCGGACAAGTTGCTGCGGAAACACACACAAACAGACAGAACGTGACACTATGCGTTTTGCACTGCTGTTACACAAAAAATTGCACTTAAACATACATTCCTCAAATGTCCAAAATTCTTTTTCACAGCCAATTTAAAGATTCACGATGTGCAACCTATGCACATGAGACTATGAATTATAGCTTATCTAATTATTCCAAGCACCCAGATGATCAAAAGCGACTACTCAGACGACCTTCGAACAGACTGTGAAAGTACATGCACTGAAGATGGCGACAGTTAAACAACTGCATAGCTCGACTGGTTGCAAAATCTTCGTGAAAAAAATAGCAAAGATGAAGAAAGTTACCACAGAAATAAAGGGCTAAAACGAGTGGGAACTGAGCAAAACACCCACTGATGCAATGGCAAAACAGTGCAATGGGCGAAGATGAATTCATATGGCAATCCTAAATCGCTGAGGACTGTGTGTCATGCTGCTATAATCTACTGCGTTTTACCGCTGTCATCGTTTTAGTAT